AGACACCTGTCTGAACTGTCTGAACATATTAAATGAATAGGGGTTAATTATTTCATAGAACTTGTATCTGCAATAAATATATAAAAATCCTAATATCTTATTTGGCAAAAAATAGTGATTTGCTATTTAATATTTACATTTGCAATTTTTTTTCCTTAATATTCTTCGCATCATCTTCTCATGAACTAGGCACATGAGAACATGAGGGAGCAAGAATATCTCCATTGTGATGTCATAATTCCACACTTGACGTCAAAACTAGAAACTTGAGTTTCAAAAATAATTGTTGAATGACATAAATTTGCATCGCTTCATGCTTATGCGCTTCATAAAATATGCTGGCGTGAAGGGTGTTTGTTCATGTCCTTGTGAATTTTCAAAAATTATTATTTTAAAAATTATTTTTTGCTAGATTTGTGAAAACTTGCAAAAAGGAACTTTTCTTTTCTGTCAGAATAAGTGTGTTCAGTTTCAATTTTTTGACAAAATACGACGCATAAAACATTTTACAACAAAATGTTTACACAATATATGCACCGATGATTCAATGTTTACATGGCCAATGTAAGTGTTGAAAATGCTAGAAAAGATCTTATAGAGGAAAACAAATTTCCTCTGCAATATTTAAAAAAAGATGTTCATGTCCAGCATGCAACCTCAAACTAGTCTATAACATAAAGTTGTATATCAAAATCACATTGGTCCATCTGTTCATCCATTTTCATTAATCATTGAGAAAATCACACCGTCTGAATCTTCTAGGAAATGAATATATACGTTGATATAGATCCAATAGTAAATTCTAATATTTTAATTAATTAAAACAAGAGGACATAAAGATCCAGATACAAATTCAATTTATTAATGAAATAGTTTTCAACATTCAGAACATATACACAAAAGCTAGACATGTCAAAACACGTAGATGAAAAAATCTGCATCGACACTCCCCAACACTCATTTCCTATCCTTTCTCTGTTCATAAAATATTGCCAAGAGAACTTTTTGTCATTGGCGCAATCATACCACGCCCCTTATTCCAGAAATGGTTACCATAAACTTTCTTTTTTGAAACCTCACATGAGTCAATCTCGTGACGCCTTGCAATCGCTTCCTTAATTACATGTAATGCCCCATAATAAATTTCACTGAGAAAGGTTTATATGGTTTTCATTTGCATAAATTGTATTAAATTATTTTTCAACTGCAGAATTGAATTTAAAAGACAATAAAAAGAATAATAAAACCTTCAGATAAAGAATTAAACAATTCATTTCTTTAAAAGTATATTAGATTAATTGTGGAGAAAAGTGACGTCTATCCAAATTTGCAGCATTTTTAACTTCTTTTTTTTTTTTTATAAAAGCGGATGTGGCCGCACTTTTGTAAGGTCATTTTTTCTTTTTAATTTTAGAAATTGGGTTACATTTGTTCTTTCTGTGAAGTTTCGCATACATACTCGGATGCGGCCATATCGAAATATAGACTCGAAGAGGAGGAAAACGTCCAAAATAAGGGAATTCCGGAATATAAGACTGGTTTTAAATGTTATATAAATGAAAGGGCGCTTGTGTTGATAAAAATTGTTGCCCATTTCACACACAGGGAAACCTCAACAGTAACTTGATACATTTGATAAAATGTAAACCTGCATTTAATTTTTTGCCAATTTTACCGGGCCGATTATTGGGCTTACCATACCCAGTTCTTTAGTATTCCTAAATTTAAAGAGCAATGTTACTGTAGTAATATTACGAATCAATATATGTATGTTATTGCAACTCCTTTGTTTTGGAGATAAAAATTGCGGGAACATGAGTATTGAGATATATGTGTTCCCTTTGTTGATAAGTGTTGATAGTCACAAATATTTTTTAGATTAATAACTGACTAAACAAGCTTATCTTGAATTTACTATTAAATGGATACGTTCTTGGAAGTTATAAATTCATTTATCGCTAATCTAAAATAGGTTGACTTGGAAACCAATACAAAATAATAATAATTTTTTATGAAATGATAGAAGTGAAACTTCCTTGTACGCAATGGGTACACTGAAATATTCAACAATGACTTCTGTAGGAATTTTAATTGTTTGACCAAAAAAGGGATATACATGGTGTACAGAAAGGTGTTAACACCCGTGTTGGTTCAACCACCTGCAGGGCATGATTAACAGATCCATGTGACATAATAGGGGTATTAGAGCTACACATCATTGAACAAACCACTTAAGCTGTGAATTTCATAATGACTGTTAAATTGTTTTGAAAAAGATTAGCCATAAAATTCAAAAAGTAGGTCAAGGTGACCTATTTTTAGTTGACGTACTTTGAGGACCCAAGATACATAAACTGACAAAGTTTGAAGATCATAGGCCTAAAATTGTTCAAAATATGCCTCTAAATTAGGGATGTCAACGAATAGTCGACTATTCGACCATCAGTCGAAAGGACCGACGATCGAACAACGAAACGACATTCGAATAAATAAATTCAATAAAAGAGTGATAAGAGATGGAATTCTCCTCCTAAAATTGAGAAATCATCTTCCCTCAGACACTGTCGATAAGATAATTTTCCTCATTAAAAACTGCTGACTTTACAAACAGAAAGTACGGTGATTAGAAATGCTTCACTTCTGCAAGAATTAGTCGTCAATTAATGTGTTGTTTTTGTAATAAAATTATCTCGCTATACTGCGCTTTCTTTGTAAAATTATTAATTGGGCTTGATCTCATACATGTACCCAGGTGTGTTCCCGTTTTGCACACATTTGATAATTAGGTATAGAATAATAGGTGTTAAATATGTTTTGATAGCAATTATAGTCTGATCTCCGTCTGGGATTCACCTGGAATAACCTGTATTTTACTAATGCAGTATAATAAATATTTAAGGGAATACATTCTGAAAATTTTACTTATCCAATCGAAGATGAAGTTGATAGTTTAGGCAAATATCCCTATCGCATGTCACCCTGTTTCTTTATAACCATGTACCCTTTATAGCCGTGACACGTTTGGACACTACGATAATTATTAAAAAATTGATATTCTTTTACATATTTTAAAGACATTTTGATAGTTGGTACAAAAAGTATATTCAAATATTTAACATCACCACAGACACCATGTGTGCCCCCCCCCCCCCCCCATTTTGATAAGCTTTAAAAAACATATCGCACTGTCATTTTTTTATGCTTCCTAAAACACCGACTTCACACACCGATTTATGAACATGATTGACGGGGAAATCGTACATTTTGGAGAAATTAGCTGTCTATTTTAAGTAAATAAAAACACGCTTTCCACATTTTAGGTCCATGTGAACATTTGTGTGTAACATATGATGTAACTCTTTAATAAATTTTAAAAAAGGGGATTTGGGGGTTAAATATGTGATGTACCAGTGAAGTTTGAAATAAAATTTTAGTTTCCGAAAAAGTTTCGAATATATTCGACTATCGTTCGAATAAAGCAATCGAATATTTGACTAAAGAAAATAAATATTTTGACATCCCTACTCTAAATCATTGCGTAAAAGAATGGCCGCAAAATTCAAAAAGAAGGTCACCGTGACCTACTTTTGAGTCAACATGATATGAAGTCCTTAGATGCATCAACTGACAAGATTTGATGATCCTTGTCCTTATAGTAAGCCAAATATCAACATTTTAATAAAATGTAATTTTTGGTCAATTTTGAAGTGACCTTGAGACCACGCCCTTTGCCCCAGGGTGATGCCTTGTGCCAAATGTTAATCTAAAACACATCTTCATCCTTTTATGTAAGTTTGGTGATAATCTGCCCAGTGGTTCTTGAGAAGATTTTTTAGCATCCAGTACTTTTGGTTTTATTTACCTAATTATCTCCCCTTGTTTAAGGGTCACAACCCTAGTTTTAGTAAAAACAGGAGCCCTTGGGCCAAGGATACCCTGTGACAAATTTGACAATAATTGGCCAAGGGGTTCTTGAGTTATGGCTCATATTCTAAAAAGTTTACGCACACCGCACAAATGGCCATAGCATTAGCTCTTTGAGCCTTTGGCTCAGAAGAGCTAAAAACATAGGTTATCAAAGATTACGAAGCTCACCTCAATGAATGTTATCTATAAGTAAGGCAAATTTCACATCATATTTTTTTTTTAGTTGGTATACATCCAAAGATCAATATCCATGCAATTTTGGTTTCAGTAGGACCTATAGATTCTTGGAAATAGACCTGCTCAGAAAACTTTTAACCTGTTTACTAATCAAGAAAATTTAGGTCAGTTTCAACATCCAAAGCAAGTCTGGAAGTTTTCATCCTTAGATGCACCATCTATGCAAGTAAAGTCATAAGAGGCCATAATATTATATCGCTACTCCAAAAAATTTCCCTGAAAAAAGTAGGTCAGATTCAGAATCCAAAGCAAGTCTGGAAGTGTCCATCCATAGTTACAGCATCCATGCTAATTTGGTTAATTCACTTATGAGGAAAATATAGGTCGGATCCAACATCCAAAGAATGTAGGTTAGTGTACATCCCTAGATGCATCATCCATGCAAGTTTGGTTCAGGTCGGGCTTATAGTTACTTGGGAATGGACTTGCTCCAAAAACTTTAACCTGGTCACTCCTTTGGAAAATCTAGGTCAGATCCAGCATCCGAAGCAAGTGTGGTAGTGTCCATCCCTAGATGCATCATCCATGCAAGTTTGGTCTAGGTGAGGCTTATAGGTACTTGGGAATGGAGAGCTCCTAAAACTTTAACCGGGACGCCGACGCTAACGCTGACGGTATTGCATAAGCTCATCTTGACTTCGTCAAGGTGAGCCAAAAACATGAATTGCTTAAAACATTACATTGGGATATAATGAATATAATGGGATATAATGATAAGAACTACATTTTTTTTACCATGACATGGTATAATTTTTCTGTGTATTAATGTGGTATATAGGTATATCTTTACACTCCTTATTTAAATATTGCATTAACAAATAGAGCTGTATACTTACAACTGTTTGCAAAAGAACCAGCAATACATGCTTGACATGTCACATAGTGCACTGTACAGTTGATAGACAGTTCATAACCTAAACCACTGGCCTCTGATATCAAAAACAACAATATAATCCAGCTGATGATTTTACCTGAAAGGTAGAGAAAGTTCTATTAACATCTGCCATAGCAGGATTCTCTACATTTGAAAAAACCATGGAGAAAGCTGTGCAAAAGCGAAATGTGATTAAAAGCATGAATGCATGTTTGACCTTCTAAGTAAAGCTTCATTAATCAATGCTTGATTTCACAAATATCTTTTATTACCATGGCAACACAAAAAGTTCAAATAACCAAAAAAAAAAAAAACACACACACACACAAACAAAACCCCCCACCAATATACAGGATTATGTACCTTTCGTTTACTACAAATGTCTTCCATAAATGTCATTTTGTTTTATCAAAATTGGACCAAAACTGTACGAGCATTTTTTAAGAATTTGTTCCAAAAATTAGTTTATACTGATACATGTATATTCGAAATCTAACACTAAGCAGCTAGGCTAGCTGTCCGTTCAATAGAGATAGATATCTAACACCTAGCTGCTAGGTTAGCCGTTACAATCTTGAACGCAACCCAGAATGTTTTAGCTTCACATGAGCTCTAGCATATGTTGCACAATGTCACACATTCGTTGCATGCGTTTAAGTGGTTGCATCAAGTCTCCTCGATATATTAGACATGCACAATATTTAGACGCCACTGAATGCAATCCAAATTATCACAGTACAACGCATGAACATTAGTATGAACATCTTACAATGTTTTGTGTTCTCATAAGAGTGATGCACCATTTTTAAAGGTCGCAAGATGAACTGCAGCTGTCTTTGCATGTGTTTTGTGACCACAAGACTGTTTGCTCAACGTGTGCATGTAATCTTGCAAAATTTGTACCATCGTTGCATAATTTATCAGCTTCAATCTGCCATGCAGATATTATATATACACACCATATATTATATATATATACACCAATATGATATCAAACTGCTGAAACACTTTGCTGTCATAATCATATAGTCAATAATTAATTACTCATTCAAAACGGTGTCAATATTAAGAAGAAATAAGAAAAATCACAGCACTATGTCTGGTCCTTTAAATTTAGAATTGTGTGGCAGATGGGTGTTGCTTAAATGCACTCGCAGGAACATTTGTACCATGGAACACATGATTGCATGAGCACTGCACATCCAATCGCATTGGCGCACATTTAATCGTCCGATCACCTGATCACTTGTGCAAGCGTATCACATTATCTTACAACACTCGCTTTCATTGTACAAAAGTCACATATAGATGCAAGATATATCGCACTCCAAGATATAATGCGTTTGCATCGCACAATGGTCGCTTTAGATCGTGCAAATTTCGTACAAATACTTTTAAGTAAAACTTCTTCCAATCCATAAATGTCATTTATTAAAAATGATGATAAAATCCACGTTATAAAAATTACTGGGAGGCCAAAAACCAATATTTCCTGTAATAAACATTATAGGTAAAACAGACCAAAATGAGTACATATTACATAATTACAACAAACATTATACACTGAAATGGCCTCCCAGAACTAGATGATAACACAAAAGCAAGAAAGGTGGCCAAAAATTCTGCAAACAGATAACAAACACATACAATGTATCTATTAGTGAAATACAAAGGTGGTTAGTAAACAGTTGGGGTGGAGGAGGGTAGCTATGGAAAATACAGCCACTCTCGACAAAAACAAAAATGATAATGAAAGATGCTGATCAGCTTTTGGATGAAACTAAATCGAGAGGCCCCCGACAGGGTGTGTTATGTAACTACTTACATAAACAAAATACTGTACAATGATTGGATAAAATTAAAACAAGGAGGCCCCTGGTGGGGTGCATTACAAAACATATTACATAAATAAAAAGGAGGGTCACAATGAAATACCAAAACATACTAACATAATATAATACATATCAAATACAGGATTCAACCAAATTGAACTTTACTTAAAACAATTTATTACCATAAATTTATCTTTCCATATATGATTACTTCGGCAACAGTTTACAATCCAAATCATGTGCCAGTTGTGCAAGGGCCTTTAATCGGACCAAAACTGATGAAGGAGTAGTATTTGAAAGAAGAAAGTTTACAGAAACAAACAAAAAGTAATAATAATATGTTCCCAATAAGTGAACATCATAATAAGAAAAACCCTTTTATAATCAAAGTACTGTGAGCACTGTTAGATGGTGGCATGTTAAACGTCCCTCTCGAGAATTTTTCACTCAAAAGGAAGACACCACCATTGCCATTAGTGGGCTGCAAATTTAGATCTATATTCAGCACTCGGGGCCATTGAGCAGTGAGGGATCTTTTTTCTGCCCAGCCCTTACTGTGACATGGGACCTCGGTTTACCAGTCTCACTTGAAGGACCAGTCTCTACATCCTACAGTGGGATTCGAACCCGTGAATCATGTCCATGACTCTAGAGCAAATGCTCTAATCACTGCACCACACGGCGACTGGCACTGAATGAAATAAAATGTTATAAGAATCTGTAAAATGATATGGAAATGAAAGTTTATTGCAATTTTTCACAAATAATGTATTTTAATAAGTAAATTCATATTTCCGTAGTATGATGAGGACATGTATTAATTGAAGTTGTTAAACAATTTATTGCATGAAATTTTCTACATTAGATTTATTATAAAATAAGGTTTGAAGAAAAAACTGTCCTGAAATGCCAGAAACGAAAGTTCAGTCATTTCAGTGGCTTTTTTTTTGCATTAGGTACTATAAATTGTGGTGTATTGTCATAATTATGTTATTTCTCATACATACTCTTAATATGAACTGATCCTGCTAGTCACTGCACAATAAAAAGTTTAATTTGTGAACACATGCATGCAGGAGAAGACTGACCTAGATGTAAATTAAGCCCACTGAATTTGCAAGAAAATCCTAATATTTCATGCACATGTATTTGTGTAGCTGTTTTTCTTACATTTTTTAAAGGGTACATTTTATTCAAGGAATGATAGAATTTTCAAATACGGATGAAATATATGGGTAACTTTTGTCTGTCACAATCTTTGTAATTATAGCTTTGATAATTAGCATCCATTCAGTAGTTTTTGTGTCCCAGATAATGGCTTAATTTTTTTTAAATTATATAAAATCATAATAAACTTTGCAAATTTTATGGCATCGTATCTGCCTCCAACAACTTTCTTATTCACTGATTAAGATGTCATGATCGTTTTTTTCCATTCCAAAAAAAAAAATTTTTTTTTCTAATATAGATACTAGAAATTCAAACAATCAAAAGACATTGTAAAATCTCAATTAACTGTATAAGTTTTATTGTATAAAAATTCCACAAAACATCTCAAATAAAATTTTTATATAACATGCAGTTCTGCAATAAGGAATGTGCAGCCCTTGAACCACATTGTACTTTTGAAAATGGAGAAATTCGAAGATTGACTTCCAAGTATGGAATATCTTGTAATTAGGGAGTATCAAATTGAGAATATCTCATAATAAGCATCGATGTCTCATAACTAAGAACCATCATGCGTGTGTTGTTTATGCGCGCGATTTGCTACATTCCCACTGTCGTGCGGTCTGTTATGAATGCCACGACTGATACTTCGTAGCTGATCGCAGAGTTTTTATTGAATTTCATGTCAAGATACAAAGATATGCGCATAGATGCATTTTCATATGATTCGTTGCGCTATGATGCGGTGTGGTCATGTTGGATAAATTTCATGTGACGCAATCTCTGATGATCTGACTACCCGTTGAGATAAGATTAATTACATTCCAATAGGATTATCAAAATTTAGTTGACAAAAGAACCTCGACCTGTTACAAATATAATGATCCCAGTCCCCAATTTGAAATGACCTTCTACATTTAAATATGTACTCTTATGATATAATAAGTTCATCACACCCTGTTGTGCTAATTTGCAATAGAACAACAATGCCTTTTACGATTTTGATCAACTTGAAGATGAAACATGCTTTGAGCTACAATTGTACTCCAACAGATATATTTTTATAAACAATCTGAATATATTGAGTCCATTATATTTTATCTATTAAAAAGTAAACACAGCAAAAACATACAATCAATAAGAATGGCAGAAGTTGGGGTTGATGACAAGGTGATGTTTGCAGTGCTACTATGTTCATATGTTATTGCTATCAAAGAAGAGGAAGAGCAGCAGATAGACAATGTACAACATCATCAAAAAAGGGTTAAAAGAGCTGCACATAGGCACTTTTGGATGCGACCTTGGCTCACATAGGAGAGAAGACAACAGTTCAGCCACTTCTCTAATCTTCTGGACAGTCACCTGAGGCTTGTCTCAGGATCCAGCAGCATTCCAAAATTATACACAGCTAACGCCAGAGCTATTTGATGAAGTCTTGCAGAGGATAACCCCAGAGACTGAGATGGAAGTCACCAGTTTTAGGCAACCTCTTTCACCTGCATTGAAACTGGCGGTGATCCTGAGGCACCTTGCCACTAGAGATAGGTATCTGTCACTTGCGTATGCATTTAGGTGTGGAGTGTCCAGTATCTCAAAAATGGTCCCAGAAGTGTGCCAGGCAATTGTACAAGCATACAAATATGAGGTATTTAGCTCACCTGTGACCCCTGAAGCCTGGAAAGCTTTAGCTGTCCAGTTTGAGCAGAGATGGAACGTCCCCCATGTTGTTGGCGCCCTAGATGGTAAACACACTGCTATCAAGAAGCCACCTCAAACTGGCAGTATGTACTTTAATTACAAAGGTTTCTTTTCAATTCCACTTCTTGCTCTGGTGGATACATGTTACATGTTTGTATGGATTGAGCTTGGTGGAAAAGGACACATATCAGATGCTCAGATATTTGGGAACTCAGAGTTGTTCAGCAGCCTGGAAGAGAACGCCTTAGGACTACCCCCACCCTGTCCTTTGATGACTTCCATGACATGCCTTTCTTTATCCTAGGAGATGATGCCTTTGCTCTTCAAAACTACCTCATGAAACCATATAGCAGAAGACAAATGTCCAGAGAAGAGAGGATTTACAATTATAGAATTT